CAAGTTTACCGGAGCAACGGTTGACTTCGATTTAATTGATACACCCTCCAAGGCCTAAGGGGATCTTCCCACGGTCTGGTCGAGGAACGAGGGGCGTTGGCCTCGAAGTTACGCTCGAGAACTTCCAAGTACGAGTGAATTGTTTCAGACACGCCGCCGGTGTCTCGCGAATTCAGAGCGGCAACTTTCGCGTTCGATAATTCATCGTTTTTCGCTCGTTAAAAAAAAGAAAAAAAAAAAAAAGAAACGGCCCCCGCCCAGAAAGCAATCGATGAACCGGTCCCGTCGAGACAACAAAGCAAAGTGACCAAGTTATTAAACAGCGAATTGCTCTCGACAGAGGGGAGGGGTGAAATTCGATGAAACGATCAAAGAGCGAGAGCGATCGAAAAGGGGAAACACGGTCACCGGGCCTCGGCGACGTCGAACCGAGCGAACGCCATCAAAATTCATCCCCCACCGAACAATGACTATATTATCGAGACGGTGCCTCTCGATATCGTTCTGATCGTCAATGAGAAAAGTCCCTTTCAACTCGCGGCGACCAAGTTTTCTTTGAAGGCTCGCGCTCGCCTCGAACGATTCCGCTTCGAACGTCCCGCTCCCCCGGTCTTCGGCCAATGTAAATTATTAATCAGATTCGAATATTCCATACAAATTACTTCTATCTGTCGTTGCCATCAGCTGGCAAGATCGTGGAGAAGGACGACAGGAAGTCATCCTCTCGGAGGATGCATTTGCATACTGTCGTCGGTGATGCACAAAGCCTCCCCCCCCCCATTTCCCACCCATCTCTCCACCCCCCTCCTCCCACCCATCCATCCATCCATCCCGATACTTTGAGCCTTTCGAAGCGTTCGAGCCCAGGACAATCGATTCATCCTACCATCCACTGTTCTTCCCTGTCGCTGTTCGAGTAATTGAAACGGCGTAATGTATGTCGAGAGTTTCGACTTTCGAGAACGTTTCCCTTTGTGATTTAGCATTGAACGCCGTGGGCCGTGTCGTAGCCACTCCGGTGCGTAATTGAAAATAAAAACTCGCGTCGAGACGTCGAGAGACGCGTCTCACAGCCCGTCAAAGGAAAACAGGCTCCGCGGCCTGATACACAATGAGAGACACAACTCGTCGACGCGAACACCCCGGCGAAAAAGTTTGATCGTACGTATCAACGAGGAGGGAAACGATCGAGCTTCTCTTTTTTGTTTTTTTTTCTTTCTTTTTTTTTTTTTTTNTTTTTTTTGGTGCACGGGATCGAGCACGTTGCGCATTCGTTATGGAGAACGAGCGTGAAAAAGCTCGAAAAATCACCTGTTTTCTGGTCGTCCCTCGGTTTCGAGCGAGCTGAATTCGATAACCAGATTGCGTATTTTTCTTGCCGTTTCAAAATTTTTCGAACACAAAAATTGAAGAAGTGGAAAGAGGTTTGTTTTATTTTTATGAAATGGAAAGAGATTATTGTTATAGATTTAAATTAGAAGTGGAGAGAAATTTGTTATATAATAATTGTTGAATTTTATTTTCTTTACGTTCGACGAGAAGAGTTCGATTCCAAGACGATGGAAAAAAAAAAATGTAAGCGATAGAGATGATGGAGCGAGCCTGGTATTAAAATAGTTGTGTAGCACTTGACACGTTAATAAATATGTGAGTTTATCTCGAAAACTATATTTAATCGTAGAATCAACTTGAAATCGTATATTATAATTTGATAGTCAAAGTCAATAGCAAAATTGAGAAACCAAAGAACAGACGTAAAAACGCTTCGTTTTTCGATCACTCTTCCCATCCGCGCAATCTCAACTTCAATCAAACATCAGGCAACGAGACAGTTTCGAAGGACACAAACGATCTACTTCGAGCTTGTCGATTGAATCGCGAATAAAAGACGTGTGCCAGCTCCGTTCGAACCAAGTTAAATTTAGTTTCTTTCCACGTATCGTGCTGTACTATCCGGTAACTATTGTGGAAGCAATTAAATTCTTGGGGAAGCGCGAAAAAGAAACCGATTACTTTGAACGCGCAACAAAATTCGAGAACCATCGTGCTGAAATTCAGTTTTCTAATTAGAGCAACTAGCTATATAATCGAATTAGCTACCGGTTGTTTCTTACTACTCGCGCTATAGTTTCGATTTTTCGACGAGACTTCAAACGAACCCACTCGTGGATAGTGCAGAGACAGTTACAAATATCTACCAAGTTTGTTTATTTTTTATATAATATATAATTATTTTCTGGATACAAGTGACTACATTTGTTAAATAATTATTTTCTGTAATAATAATTATTTAACAAATGTTATATATATTATAATAATATTAAATAATTACTTTCTATAATAATTATTTTCTGGATACAAATGACTACGTTTGTTAAATAAATGTAAATAGGATTTGAATAAAAATTTCTATCACTATGGACATGTATTGAATATTGAACAATTCGACTCGTATTGATAAAACCATCAAATCTTTCAACATTATAGACCATTCTGAAACAATTTTACACTACAAGAAGAAATATTTATTCATACTTAAATGTTTCACCGACCTTTGGCCTTTCTTCATCCAACGATCCAAATACACCGACCGAAACGATCCCATTTTAATTTTCCTTCGTCGAACGTCGAAAGCATTCGATCTCTAAACCTAAGGATTCAAGGAAAGAATGCATGAGAGATCTCTCATGGGCTATGGAAATCGAGAGCCATTTAGACCACCGTGGTATCACGACGACTCGACCCTACTTCCTCGTAAAAGTGTCGTCCTCGGGGCGAAGTACATCCTATTTCTCAGCGTTCCTCGGCTCGCCTCGCTCGGCCGAGGATACGCGGGTCTCGTATGCGGTCCCGTTTCGGCCATGGATTTTCAAAATGGCCTTAGCGAGCTCTTCGTTGAAAACGTCACGTACCGGCGCGGAATATTCCGCGGTAGTTTACGAGATACCGTGCTCTGCACTTTCCTCTAAAATCCTATGAAGTATGGCGGGTACCAAGGTGACGGACGACGTAGCGCACCGTGACTGTGACCCGATACACTCCGACCACCGCCCCGGGAAAGAGCGATAGAGAAAAAAAGGGATCAACGTCGGCCAGATTAACGCGAAAGAACGACTGAAAGCTATCCTGAGCTCCCTTGAATGTCTCTCTTCTTTTGAACCATCATTTGCGAGATGCTTCTTAACCCCTTGCCGCTGGCAGCTGGCTCACGGACCGTAACGAGTGACCAAACCGTATACAACAATTCGTCTTCTTTCTGAATTCATCGATATATCACTGGATAGAAATTACTAAGAAGTGATAAATTTATTATCTGTTGTTGTCTGGGTTATATTTAAATATACTTAATTTAAATATATATATATACTTATATTTAAATATACTTAAAACTGAGAAAATATTGCAATTTTGGGATAAAAAAATTCTCGTCATTCCAGCGCAAGAGGTTAAACTATATTAGAGTCATCTTTGAGTATATAATGTACGAATGTTGCGAGTTACACAGGATGACTCTTAAATGGTGAATCTATAAACTGCCGCCGGCGATTACGTTTGGTGATGTCTCTATTTCTAATAATATTTTAAAATAATTCGAACAAGATGAATATATCATCGACAAGAACAAGTTTGTAATTTTAAACAACTTCGTTACACTTTTCTTACTGTGATATAATACTTCTTGAACCTTGAATGTTCCGTAGGCAAAACGAACAAATTTCATGCGACAGTCAACATATTAAAATACTCGCTCGAAAATACCAAGTATTTCTCGAATCTATTCTTCGAATGAACTCCTTCTTGCAAATCATGTACATTATTCACCCCGATAGATTTTAAACAGCAAAAATAAAATTTATAACTCGTATCGACAGATATTTTTCGCAAACACTGGACAAGCCTTAGGCATACCGCGACATTTTGAATATTTTCTTCAATCATCTATAATTCGAAAACTGTGGCACGTAGAACATGATGTTTCTTTCATACTTTTGGGGGGTAGTTAATTTTATACGTTTGGAGTTAATATAATATAAGTTTGGGGTTAATATAATATAATATAATCGAAAACTATGGCACGTAGAATATGATTCTTTCATATTTTTGGAGGATAGTTAGTTTATACGTTTGGAGTTGATATAATATAGAAGCCCACTGGACTTTCGTCTCGTAATTTTCCGTTCGTGTAATAAAAATTCGTATAATTAAATTCATCCACGAAAAGTTCACTGAAACGAAGTTCTACCATACCTACGTTCAGTTCATTTCGCAATTACCATTTTCCCGTTCGAGTGGCGTTAAACTTTCGCGATAAATGAACCTTCAATCGTTCGAAAATAAACAGGCAGACAACTATGTATACCACGTTGCTAATTTTTAATCCGGCACCGTTACAGTATCGTTCAACCTTTGAACGTGCCACCTATGTGCACACGCCATTTTATCGTCCCCCGCGGACACGAATGTAAATTACAGCGCAACGAGAGGTTGAAACGAGGTCGAGCATGCAGTCTAGCGTAATATTGCTGCGCGACATCGGGCGTTATGTACGTGTCGAACAGTTGTTTAAGTCGGTGCCCTTTCCGGTTATAAAAATAAAACCATTCGGGAACGAACGAATTGCGCGTCTGGCCCGCACCCGTGCACAGTTTTCGTCCACGGCTCGTCGTCTCGCGGCACAAATTGCTCTTCCTCGGTCACGGTCGTATATTTTATCGCTTCTTATCAGCGGCGGACGTCCCATCTCGTCGAAACGACCCCCAACGCCGTTTAACGGTCTTAATTTTGTTGTCCAACTGTTGTAACGACTCCTCGAGACGTCCCCGACGACGTATTTTTCCACCACGTTTCCTATCACGATGGGGAGAAGGTAAAAACCGATATCGAAATTCTATCTTTCGCGCGCGGGGTAAGAAAGGTGGGGAAGGGTATTAATTTAACCGCTATCGGGTTTTAATCCGGTGAAAGAAGTCGCGTGACCAGACGTAATTAGATCGACTTACTTGTTGTAAAGAACAATGTCCGGCAACCATATATGCTCCGACGGCACGTGGAGGGTGTCGACACCGCCATAATCATCCGGGTTCCACTTCAGCTTGTAATCGTTCCACTCCTGCAAGCAGAAACAACGCAAAAATAAGTCTCGTTTATTTTCGTTCTTTGCGCCACGGTAACGGAGACGGGGCGGAGAAAATGAATAGGAGCGAGCGTATTTTAAAACGGATTATCGGGGCTAACAATCCCTTTCTTCTTAACTTCTTAAGTTAAGATTGTCGCCCGATGATTGATGTATAGGTATAGTAATTTGCCGCGAAAAGTAAGTTTATTTGTTTTTATTTTTGTTTGGTATGTCATGTCTTCTCCGATAGGGAACAAATTTAAATCGAATTCAGAAAATTCCAGGATTTTTCGTTCAATGATGTCGGTTAGGATTTAATTATAACTGTGAAGTGAAATATGGTTCCCCGATATTTTATTGTATATGTCGCATATCGTTCAACAATATCTGAAGTTTTTTTCTTCGCAGCAGGATACAGTTCGATCGCAATTTTATGGGAGGATAAATTTATAATTACTTTGTTCTTTGTTCGTCGTCAGTGCTGTGCAGAATAAAATAGCCGACAAAGAAGAAAAAAAATTAAGACAAAGTCCGTGCTTAACTTATTTCAAACACGTGATCATCGCTCGATAATGTATCTCGGGTCTGTCGATTAATTTCTCACGACTATAACACGACCAAATTTAACGTTCTGGCTCACAATTAACTCGAGCATGTAGAAATCTCTAAATAAACTATTATCGTTCAAGTATATCTGAACATTTTCTCTTCGACAGGATTGAATTAAATCGTAGTTTTATAGAAAGATAAATTTATAATCGCTTCGTTCTTCGTCGTTCTATGTCGTCGTTCATCAATAAAAAAAAAAAAAAACTACGTGAAGTTTATATTAACGATATTTTCATTACACGATCACCAATAACTGCTCTACGTTGTGCGTGTATTATCTTCTATAATAATTCTGCTGCAATAATTTCATTATATTTAATGCTATTTATAGTAAGGTATTGCGACGCGCCAAAAATGAAACTAGAAGTTGTGCTTAAACGCATTTTAAACGCATGATCGTCTTTGATAATCATTCTGTACTTCGATTCTTCTAGTATTTTTTTTTCTTTTAATTATAAATACATGTAGAATATATAACTATAAATATATATTCAAGAATTAAAATTATACGTATGCCCAAGTTAAACAGGACACTGTATAATTGCCTGTATTATTATATATCAATACATTTATCAACTTGTTTAAATCTTCAATAATCAAAACATAATTAAGTTTAATCTCTATCGATGTACCTTTCGCTTCAGTTCAACTGCCATTTGACAAACTGTACCTGATGGTATTCTTGATTTGCAAAAGGGGATATTGAACAAATAAATAAATGAAATCGTCCGAAACAAAGTTAAACCACGATTATGTCTCTCAATGTGAATAAAATTATTCCCCTTGGCATAACTCGAGCAAAGCTCGAAATCCCGTGCAATTCGTCTCGAGGATGAGGTCGAAATGCGCCAATAATAATATAATATAGAAGCTACGAAACTTCGGACAAATCCTGATTACGTTAGCCTCTCTTCGACGAACGGGGCGAACTAATAATTCCTTTTGAACCTGAGAAACTTGCCACTCTCGGAAATAGCAATACAGTCTCGCGCGTAGTTGAAACTTGTTTGTTGATTGGCCATCCTTACGATTTGAATTGAATTATCGCTCGATGTCCTTTAAATAATTACACTGCAAATTCTCCCTCTCTCTCTCTCTAGCTCTTTCCTGATCCTTCAAATAGAAACCTCTTCTTGCAAACATCGGACTGGTGTGCCCATTTAAAATTTAGATCTCCAATTTCATCGATTAAACGCCGTGACAAAGTAAAACGCGTGAAATCCTCGCGAGCTCTCCATCAGCCGCCCCTTTTCCCTCCTTTCACCTCTTTGAAATAATCGCTCCGATGAACCAGCGCGTTCGTAGCAACTTTCGCGCACAGTTTCACGCGATATTAAAACGAAACCGCGTTCCATTCATCCGTTCCGCGTTTCTATCGAGTTTCCGCCACGCTCGCCATCCACGTCATTGTCGGGTTACGCGTGCCAATAAATGAAATAAATCTGGGCTTTCTTTATCGCCGGCTCCATTTCTACGCTCAACCGTGTATGCACTACAATTATTGGCGTGTCAACAGACTGAAATAACTTACGACCCAACGCCAGAAATCCGAATGGAAAAGTTATGGAAAACGTAGTGGCGAGTTAATTTGCGAATGTAAAATACAAACGGCCGATTACTATACGATGTTCGAGCTTTGTGAATTTTGCGGAAAATTACTGCAACTGCGAAGCGAAAACGAAATCTTTCGAGAGAAAGAAGGAATGTTACAGGACTTAAAATTGTAAAACAGAATCTTCTAAGTATAGAAATAATATTCTGTCCTTTTACGTCAAGGGCAGGAAACTATCATAAGCAATATTTTTTTTTTTTTTATACTTACGAAATAACAACGAGTCTTTGAATTGTTGTATGAATAGAATTTATAGAATTTTCCATTTCTTTCTCTTTTTTTAAATTATTTCTTAGCTTCGGAATATATTTCAATCGTTCTGAAGTAAAAAAATTCCTACCAATTTACAAGTAAAAATGTTTAGAGTTGTTAATATATCGGATAACAGTTCGAAGTGGAAAAACCTCCGCTCTTACTAACGAAAGCCAGCTTCAAATATTTATAAATAATTAATTCAAATTGTTTTAAAGACTCATGCGTTACATGTTAAATAATATATCCTTATTTGTAGATTAATATTTAGGAATTTTCTACTTCAACCTTTCACAACGATGGCGGCCAACACACAACTGAAATGAAATTTGCAAATTTATGAATAACTTCGTTTCATGACATTTTGTTTTGGAAAAGAAAAATTGAAATACGAAGTTACGAGTCACATTAAAAAACACTTAAAAATCCAATAGGTTTTTATCCATTTTTTTAAACTGCGAAGTTGCACAAAATGAAAAAAAAAAATATCAGTCATCCCACAAATAACGCTGCCGTTTGTTTTCATACAAATGAAAATAAATCCGATGAATTTTACCGTATTTCATTGTTTTCCTCTATCGAACTTTTTATTCCAACTTTTCAAAACTTGGACGGTATCTAACCGATTCCCATTGTTGTTTCGAAACTCTGAGAAAAACGGCGTCGGGACTGACGGGATGATCCAACATGCAAAATGCCCAGAGAAAAACAATTTGTTAGCAAACTTCTACCTCTCTTCATCGCGATTCATTCAAGATCCGTTTCTCATCAGTTCAGCTCGCAGGTCAAACGAACTGAACCGATTAAGAGGGTGGAAAAGTAATTACGAGCAGGCAGAGCCTGCCTTCTCCCTCCGTTTCTTATTTTCGAGAGCGGAGAACTGCGAGATGCGACTACGGGAATAAAGCGCAGCCGATTTTCTTTTATACCGCGTGGTACGACGTACTTTTCCATTCGTTGCTCCCGAGATTGATTCTATCCCGATCCACGGCCCAAGAAAACGAATTATCGCGAAATAAAGAAACAATTTTCCTCGCCGGACTAATTTCTAACGCCGTGCGGAATATTTCGTAAAATTAAGGGACAAATCGTTGGATTGTAAGGAGTTTGCTATAGACGACAGGTCTTACATTCCGTGTGATGCTGAATGTAAACAAGGATCTGAGGACAGTTTTAGGATCTTTCGAGTAAAGTACACAATTAAATTTACGCATTCTTTTTCACTCTCTAAGTTTCACTTCTACAAAATTGACGACAAATTTGTAATTAGTTCCAAAAATGTATTTTTTTATATATATTTATAAATACATATAAATAAAAATAATATATATTTATAAATTAGTCCCAAAAATATATATTTTTTTTTTTTATATATTTATACATTTATGTCTTACAATTCTTCTAAAGATATATTTAAATTAAAGACATACATTAATTACAAATTTGCAATTAGTCCTAAAAATGTATTTAAGTCCATGGTTGATGCATAGTTTCAATCTGTGGAAAAATAATACACTCCGCCATTTTTTAAACCTTCGTAAGAAGCAATAGCAAGTCTAGTTCGTGATGAATTATCCCGAATTACGTCAATTGACTCAGGATTGCCTTCAGAAATTCCTCCTTTCTGAAATTCTTTCGTTCCTCTCACGACGTTATTATTTCACTCTAAGCGTCCGTTCAGATGTTATCGTGTCACACAACATGTACGAAATGTGTACACGTTCGTTATAATTACATCAGCAAATTATTAAAAGAAAAAGTCCGAGCTGTTAGCTGGATTTAGATCCCCTCAAAAGGGACAGTCGAATGCAAAGGGCTAAATTCATCAACATCGTGCAGAGTGATCCATGAAACATTGTAATAAACGATGGATAATCTCCATTTGCGCAGCGAATTGAAACGACATCGATCGTTACGAGTGACGTGCAAGTCCAGGCACAGTGTCCAGTCCGCCATCCTGTTTTGTCAATCAATTCGATGATTGTAAATAATTGCATTTGCGTGGACGAGCTGCACGGTCGACGAACAAAAATCCTCTGACGCGTTTTCGGGTGACCTCCGATTTTTAATAAACATATTTCGACACACTGAAAATCCTCCTCGATTGTTAATACTCGACTAACGAACCAGAACCAACTGTTCTTATTTTTTCTTTTTTTTTTTTTAACTAATAAATAACGCGTTACTTACGGAAATTTTCAGTCCCGTTTCGCAAGAAAGTTAGGGGGGGAGAGGCTCAATTAAATCGGCTTGGCCCTAGGTTTAAATGCGCGAGAGGGAATTAGGAAACTCGCGAAGGTACACACATGTGCGCAACGTTCCCAGAGACGTATTGATTTTCACCGGCATGAATTATTCCCGGCCGCAATTAGCCAAGTCTCGCCGATTCGACAAAAATTCCGCGCACGATTCACCCGGCCGGCCCGTCTAAATCAATTATACCGCGTCGAGGAATTTCAAAAGAACGTAAATAACGCGCGAAACTGTTCTTTAACGAAACAGTTTTCAATCCACGTGCGCT